TTCTGAAGTCGAATAAGTGAAGGGAAAGAGTGGACAAATTGTTATCTAATGGGGCTGCCTCCCAGAAAAGGACTCCTCCGGCAGTAAGAGATGTGCACGTGGTATAACCAACAATGCTGCTTCTGGGTGTGTCCACACGGCTGGAGCTCAGAAATGCAGAATGAAAAAACAGGTTGTGGAAGTGTATATACAATCTGTTACATTTTTGAAAAACACACAACACAATGCTATATTCTGTTTACGCATGTGTGCTTATGTAGAAAGAGTCTGAAAACCTGATCTGCATAAGCTCTGAGTTCAGAGGAGTTATGACCATGGGAAGAAGTAGAGGGGTGGGATGGGCGCATGGGGTCCTGAACTCATCTATGTTGCTTTACTTCTGAAAGAGGAACGATCTTAAGCAATCATGGTAAAATGTTAACGTTTGTCAGTTTCGGGGGTGGGAAAGGAAATTTAGGTCTGTAATTTAGGAGAGGTTGAGGCCAGAGCCAAGATTGGCAGTTGTGATGAGTATGTGGTTACATCTCCACTTTTTTTAGAACTAAATCTGGATGTTAATGGCCATGGTTAGTGGGCCAGGGGCTTACATTACTTTCTTGCAGCACTGGTGGCTTTTGTTTGAGGCTGCACAAATTCCTGCATTTCCCTTGGGATGAATGGTAGGGATGCAGGCAGTAGGTGACTGGGTGAATCACCTGACTTGAGCAGGGCTAAGACTCTCTGCAAACCAAACTCAGAGACATGAACTGTGCTGAGATTTCTCAGTGGTTTCCCATGTAGGCTGCTTTCCAAGGGCAGCGAGCGTGGCCTTCATCACTCACCCAATGTTCCTGATTCAGCACTGAGATGCTCGGTTAGGTTTTAATGAGGTTTTAAGTTTTTTCTTATGTTCAAGTGTTTATGCAAACAAAGTTGCTGAATTGTAAACACCAGCAATCTGAGTACCTTCTTTTGATTTCTCTCTCCGTATTGTTTAGTCCCCTTTTCTTCGTTTGTTTTATGAAATTGCACAGATGTTTTGGTTGAGAGTAGATTGTTTTTACTCTTCAGGGACAGGCAACAATTTCATGATATAACTTCTAAAAATATTTTAAATAACTATGAAAATAGTTTTTTCTTCCAAAAAACCATTTCTTCGTTTGGCACATACACAAACAAATGAGACAGAATTTAGAGTAATTTAGTGAGAGAATTTAGAGAATTTAAGTGGTGGGGTTTTTTTTGTTTTTTGTTTTTTGTTTTTTGTTTTTTGTTTTTTTGAGACAGTGTTGCCCTGTTGTCCAGGCTGGAGTGCAGTGGCGCGATCTCGGCGCACCACAACCTCCTCCTCACAGGCTCAAGTGATTCTTGTGCCTCAGCCTCTCAAGCTACATGCACGCACAACCGCGTCCGGCTAATTTTTGTATTTATATTAGAGACGAGTTTTTGTCATGTTGCCCAGGCTGGTCTTGAACTCCTGGCCTCAAGTGATCCTCCTCCCTTGGCCTCCCTAAGGGCTGGGATTACAGGCATGAGCCACCACACCCAGCCTCGTGTAAAAGCAGTTTTTAAGGACAGTTGAACAGGAAAGCTCAGATTCCTGCACATAGATCTTGTGTCCCTCCAAAGTGCCTTAAGTACCGATTTCTGCTGTCTTGATTTAACTCAGTGTCTGGAGCTTATGATCCTTCCTCTCTGTTTCCTTCTGTGGTGTAATTTTGGGGGTGTCAATAAGAGCTATTGCAAGATCTCAGCCTCTGAAAGTTTAGCTTATTCCTCAGCAAAACTTTAAGCAAGTCTCACCTCTTCTAAATTAGAGTTGTAACCTTGACTTTAGTCTCAGAGTTAACGTTGTGCAGAAAAAGAAAACACTGCCCAGTGCTGAAGCAGTTTGCAAACTGAAATGATAGAAATGAAAAATGCTATGATGTTTCTAAGTAGCCTCTCTATTTGCAAATGAGTCAGTTAGGATTAGTTTTACCCACAAATAACAACAGCAGAAAAAAAAGAAAAGAAAAGAAAGGAAGAAAGAAAGAAAAAGAAAGTGACCCAACACTATAATAGAAGTTTATTTCTCTCTCACATCAAGGAAGTTCAGGGTAGCCAGTCTGGGCTGATATAGCAACTCCTTGATCATCATGGGTTCTGTGCTACCTGGTAGTCCAGGATGGTTGCACAAGCCCCAACCATTGCATCTGTATCCCAATCAGCAAGAAAAAGGAAGAAGGGCATACCCCCTTTTCAAGAGGCTTCCTGGAAATCACATACAACACTCCTGGTTACATCTCATCAGTGACCTTAGTCACACAGCCATACTTAGCTGCAAGACAAGCGAAGACATTCAGATTCTACCTTTTCTTCTTGAAATAGAAAGGTGAGTTGCCAATCCACTGTCAGCATGACCACAGTTCAAGAGGTTTTCCTAGACGCAGAGTCGAGTTAATCCCAAGTCATCTGTGTCATCATCTCCGTTTTGACAGCATCTGCCAGGTGGTCAGCCAGGGTTTAGGCAAGAAGACCTATGACTTCTCTACACAGACATGATTAGGATTATCTTCTAAATCAACCAAACTGACCAGCCCACCCTTTCATTCTTCTGTGCATCATGGATCATTTTTGAAAAATAGTTTAGTACATATCCAATAGTAAGAGTGTAGTTTTATAAATCAGGACTCGGTCTAACAGTAGAAGATTATGTGGTAGTTAGTGTCCTGGAGAAAAGCTTCATGTTAGATTAGTTGAGTCGATCGGGATACAGAACCATCTTTAGAGCACGGTGTCGTTACGTTGTAGATAAAGCATGTAGGCAGAGAATGATATCTTTGTTGGGGAGAGCCCCAAACTAACTGCTCTTCAGGAACCTTTCTCCGAGATTTGCAAGCCAATTAGGCATAATGAAGCCTTGTTTTTAATGCATATCTTTTGCCAGTATAATAAACATAATAATTAAATGTTTATATATCTTTAGTATTTTCCTGTATAATACAACTAATCATATTTTTGTCAGGCTGAGGACATCTCAAGAGGAGGGAAAGGTGGCAAATTGAGGGTCTGTTCTTTTATACAAGATGGTAATTATAACAAATTCCTTCTGGACCTAGGGATGGGGGAGAGGTGGGGAGATGGGGACATGAGAATTATTCCTGATTTTTGTTACTTTTTGTCCTGTAAAATATGCCTGGTCCGGGCACGGTGGCTCACGCCTGTAATCCCAGCACTTTGGGAGGCCAAGGCAGGCGGATCTCCTGAGGTCGGGAGTTTGAGACCAGCCTGGCCAACATGGAGGAACCCTGTCTCTACTAAAAATACAAAATTAGCCAAGTATGGTGGCACGTGCCTGTAATCCTAGCTACTAGGGAGGGTGAGGCAGGAGAATCGCTTGAACCTGGGAGGCAGAGGTTGTGGTGAGCCGAGATCACGCCATTGCACTCCAGCCTGGGCAAAAAGAGTGAAACTCTGTCTCAAAATAGAAAAAAAAAATATGCTTACCAGGACATCTCAAGGACATTATTCCTCTGTCAACAGTAAAAAGATAACCTGAGACATAGATTAAAGTGAAAATGATTTATGATTTTTTGTTTTCTTCCTTACATTAAATATTCCAATAACATATCACTAATAACATATTCCTTTTTTTTGAGACGGAGTTTTGTTCTTGTTGCCCAGGCTGGAGTGCAATGGTGTAATCTCAGCTCACGGCAGCCTCCACCTCCTGGATTCAAGTGATTCTCCTGCCTCAGCCTCCCAAGTAGCTGGGATTACCTGCCACCATGTCAGGCTAATTTTTTGTATTTTTAGTAGATGGGGTTTCACCATGTTGGCCAGGCTGGTCTTGAACTCCTGACCTTGTGATCCACCCGCCTTGGCCTCCCAAAGTGCTGGGATTACAGGCATGAGCCATGGTGCCCAGCCAACATATTTCTAATAATATATTAATTTGATAAACAGAAGTTATTTTGCAAATAAGCCAAAACAAAAAATACTCATCCCTCCTTTTCAAGGCTATTATCTGTAGTTTGAGGTTTTATCAAATGTAAATATGAATTGCCAGCCTCCTCAGGATGTCCTCATTGCTTCTGTTAATGCTTTTACCATCCAGTACCGCTGAACAGGCAGCAGGGTGCCTTCTTGGGCACACCAGAAGGACCCAGGAAAAGGAAGATAGTGTGGACTGTTCTTGTCTCCGTGCCCCAAAATGGACCACTACACCAGTGGGGTAGGAAATAGCAGGTGTTATGGGTTGCGTTTGGAAACCTTGACTTGATCAACTATCTGCTCACCCAGGTCATCTTTCTTTTTTCTTTTCTTTTCTTTTTTTTTTTTTTTTTTTTGCAGAGGTGAGGTCTCACTATCTTGCTCAGGCTGGTCTCCTGGGCTCAAGTTATCTTGCCGCCCTGACCTCCCAAAGTGCTAGTATTACAGGTGTGAGCCATCACACCTGGTGCTTGTCACCATTCCAGCAGCAGAAAACCCCCCTGTTTAGCCTTCAGTGTTAATTTCCTCCTTGATCTATGTCTTCTACACAAATCCACTCCCTTGTTCTCCCCATGTATTACATTTGTGGACTCTTCTCAAACTCTGCAGTTCAGTCCTGGTTCCTGCTGAGCCTATGGCCCCAGGCCTGAGCAGCCGGCTGGGCCAAGTTACCCTCAGCCTCAAGATGACCTCCTCACAAGGCAAAACATTTCTCTGGCTGGGTTGGAGACCTAAGCTGGGGAACTGGGCTCTCACATTCCAAGATAGAGGTTTGCCTGCAGACCCCTGAAAGTAAGCGTGCAGAAGCAGGTTCCTCTGATGACAGAGGCCCTCCGTTTATCTCTGGAAGATCCTGAGATAACGGATCTCTGCCTTGAATTCGCCTGCTTTCTAGGTGCGGTGGAGAAAGCTGGGAAAAGAGCCACCTGTGCTCCCAGGGGCCACTGAGAGGGTAGAACAATGACCGAATCCCAGACTCACTACCTCAGGGGCTGAGAGGGGTCCAAAGGGGCCCTTAACCTATCACTTAATCACCTGACTCTTACCGCTGTCACTGATCTGACGTGTTCTCCTGGGGGCTGTCCCAGCTTCTCAGCATTATGTCCCGGGCAGTCCCGAGGGCCCAATTCCTTTATCCATACTGAGGACCAAGACCTGTGTTTCCTCTAGGGCAGTGAGGGCCACAGGCTGAGTGCCTGAACTGATGAGTACACTGCTAGTGCTGTGCTGTGCCCTGGACAAGGGTGTAGGTCTCTCTAAAAAACAACTTCCCAATATTCTACAAAGTAATGTTCAAACTGAACAGAGCTTGACTGAAGATTCTTTTTACATCGTTTGTTTTCGTGCTACATTTTTGCTCTCCGGCTCCAAGTCCGTGACAATGGGTCACAGGATGAGTACGAGTAACAGTAAAGATGTTTTTCTTCATCTTTGGGCTATGATTGTGCTTTGTGATCCTATATGTCAATACATTGAGGCTGGGCACGGTGTCTCACACCTGTAGTCACAGCACTTTGGGAGGCCAAGGCAGGCGGATGCCTTGAGCCCAGGAGTTCGAGACCAGCCTGGGCAACATGGCAAAACCCCATGTCTACAAAAAAATACAAACATTCGCTGGGTGTGGTGGTGTGCTCCTGTGGTCCCAGCTGCTCAGGAGGCTGGTGTGGGAGGATCAGCTGAGCCCTGGAGATCAAGGCTGAAGTGAGCTATGATTATACCATGGCCCTCCAGCCTGTCTCAAAAAAACAAAACAAAGCAAAAAAAAAAAAAAAATACACACATTGACTAATAACACCAGCAACATTGTTTCATGGGAGCTGCCTCTGCTATTTGTACCAAAACTGAGCGGATTTTTCAGGCCAGGCCTGAGTAATCATTAAATCGATCTGCTTGTGAGAAACTGGTAGGTCTAGGCATGACCGCAAAGCTGGCAGGTCCATCTCTTCCTTTCTTAAATAAGAAATCGCCAGAAGTAGACTCTGTGCCTGCGACTCTTGAATGTTTAACTGAAATCCAGAGCAGCAATTGCATTTTATATGGCATCGTGTGTGTGCAAAAACTGAATCAAAATCTTGTGAAACAATACTACTTACTATATATGATGTAGTCTAATATTTTCTATCCTATTTTATTTCCTCTTTTTAATGTTGGTTGAAACTGTAAATTTACATAATGACAACTACTAGGACTCTATCTTGGTTCAAAAGTCCATGATCAGCCTGCTTGTATTGAGTTACTACATTGTACGATCTTATAATTGTAAAGTTTAAGCTATTTTCCTTCTGTCTGTCTTAATTTATTCTGTAATCTCAGTTGTCCTGCCAGGAATGCTGGCATATTTACTTTGTTTGTGGATTCAGTAATCATAGTTTCTCTTGCCAAGTTACACTAATGGTACCAAAAAAAAAAAAGTTACTGCATGGTTTTTGAAACTGTTCTTTCCTAGGAAGTTTTAAAGCAAAATGTTTTTACCTTGTATTGTTTACACAGGTAAAAGCATCCCTAATCCAAAAATCCAAACTCCAAAGAAGTGCTCAAAAATCCAAAGTTTTTTGAGTGACAACATGATGCCACAAGTGGAAAATTCCACGCCTGATCTCATGTGATGGGTTGCCATCAACATGCGGTTAAATCTTTCATATATGCACAGAATTACTAAAACTAATGTTCAGGGCCAGGCACAGTGGGTCACACCTGTTATCCCAGCATTTTGGGAGGCCGGGGCAGGTGGATCACTTGCTCAGGAGTTCAAGACCAGCCTAGGCAACATGGTGAAACCCTGTCTCCTCTAAAAATACAAAAAATAAAAATAAAAAGCAAACAAAATTAGCTGGGCATGGTGGCACACATCTGTAGTCCCAGCTACTTGGGAGGCTGAGGTGGGAGAATCACTTGAACTGGGTGGCAGAGGTTGCGGTGAGCCAAGATCACGCCACTCACTGCAGCCTGGGCAGACAGAGGGAGACCCTGTCTTAAAATACATATGTGTGTGTGTGTGTGTGTGTGTGTGTTTATAGTATAGGCTATATCTATAAGGGGTATATGAAATATAAATGAATTTCATGTTTAGACTGGGGTCCCAACCCAAGATATCTGATTATGTATATGCAAATATTACAAAATCTGAAAAAATTTAAAAGCCAAAAATCACTTCAGTCTGGTGCCAACCATTTTGCATAACTGCGTTTTCCATTTTGCAACCATTTTGCATAGTTCTGTAGTTCTTTCCCTTTTGGGTTTGTTTTCGTAACTGCTCAGTAAAAAGTGTTCTGTGTCATCTTTCCATTATTTTGGGCTAAATCATGTTAGTGGCCAAGCCTGTCAGAATTCATTTGTTTTGAGTTAACTTCCTGGTGTCCAGTTCTCAGGAGCTGCAAGAATAGAGCTCTTCCCCCATGCAATCATCCAAAATCCCCGGCCTCTGGCCAGGATTGGGGAACACCACTGTTGGCCAAGAGCAGAAGGCTTAACGCTCTGGTCATAGTCATGACACTGTACAAATTGTTCTTGTTCCCTACGAGAACATGGGAACTATTTGGATAATGGAGTTATGAATTTAATTCTGTTGAATTTTTATAAAGGACCTAAAAATAACCCTATATAATTTATTACATGTATAATCGTACATTATAATTTTAAACGTGTATCATTTATAATATCGAAACATTTTTTTTCGGAAATTAAATTTCACTTTGGTCAAAATCATCTTACAAAACATGGTGACTCATCATGGTTCTAAATAATGTAAACCATTGTCTGTAACTAACGCTCTGAAGGAAGGAAATTCTGAGTTCTGACACAAAAGCACATCGAAGTGGTTTTGATACTTTCAAAGTTTTTACTGCAACCAAAAATATGTTCATGTGTACCTGTCTCCTCTTTACACTGCTTACTTTCTCTGTTGCTTTTCCCAAATACATCTCCAGTAACTTCCTCATGCTCTGTGCACCACCTCCAATCTTCCCCTCATGTATATGAACTTGGCCATCACCAAAGAGGTGGAAAGGAAGAAGGGCACGTGCTAATATTAATATTGAGGTTTGGGTTGGGTGTGGTGGCTCACGCTGGTAATCCCAGAACTTTGGGAGGCTGATGCAGGTGGATCACAAGGTCAAGAGATTGAGACCATCCTGGCCAACATGGTGAAACCCCGTCTCTACTAAAAATACAAAAATTAGCTGGGCGTGGTGGTGCACACCTGTAGTCTCAGCTATTTGGGTGGCTGAGGCAGTAGAATGGCTTGAACCAGGGAGGTGGAGGTTGCAGTGAGCCAAGATCGTGCCACTGCACTCCAGCCTGGCAACAGAGAGACTCTGTCTCAAAAAAAAAAAAAAAAAAAAAAAATTGAGGTTTGTACCGGTTTCTTTTTCCTTTAGGTCTCCTGATACGTGTCTAGTTAGTTCTATATACTTCCTGTAAATTTGACTCTAAGATATTTAATAAAACTAAACAGGGTTATATGTTAAATAGACAAATCCTAAAGAGCAGAAAGGATTTAGCATTTAGTGAAATTTCATAGACTTAAGATGAGTTGGATCCTCAAAATTAATATATTCTAAACAAAGTTCTATTTTGAAGCTGCAGTAATAATGCCGAACTTCTCTTATAGCTAACTGAATGATTTATCCTGGTGTTATCTGCTGGTACTCGCTGAAAAAGTCATTACGGTCCTCACTGTCTCCCCTTTAATTCAAGTTCGGAATTCATGTGTTTCTGTGACATTTTTGGAGTTTATCTGCAGACAGCCTGCCGTTGAATACATGTGTTTACATAGGGCAGAAAGGGGCAACCTGAAGATTCTACTCTCTATTTCTTTTAGCACTGTTTGGCAATTAACACCCACAGCCCTTCAGAATGAGGTATCGTCCAGCCTACACCTTGCTTGTAGAAGCTCTACAAAGCTTCTATTTTTGTTTTTGATTTGTTGTGAGGAAGCAAAGTGTAGCCTTTACTTGAATGAAAGCTACAGTTTTATTTTTCTTTCTATTTACAAGAAATTCTTTTGATGATTAAGTTAGCCAGATATGCCCCGTGCGCTCATATTTCGTATCTCAACCTATTTTGAGCTGAGCTAGTTGCAAGGACTAGTTCTTCTGTGAGACCTCTGGCAGTCCATAAATTCAAGTTCGCGTCCAGACGTAATGGCGAACTCAATATGTTGTATATTTGATATATGTTTGTTGCACACATGGAGAGAAAAGTTGTTACCATTGTAAAGTAGCTATGAAATCTGACAGTTCTAATTTCTTTATCTTCTGAGTAACCATGGAATAAAGGACCCCTTAGTGCCATAGCAAGGCAGAAGTTTAATTTGCAATTCTGGTGGCAACATCCAGGTATTTCAAGTAGAAATTAAGAAAACTTGAAGGAAAAATTATCTCAGCACTTCAGTTTAATTCTTTTTCAAAGTCCAAGGAGAGTTTTCCCCAGTGTAAAAGCAGAAATGAGAATTTCAGATCTAAAGCGGTTCTTGCCTTTTCTTTTCCCTCCATGCACACGTGCTGACATCAGAAAGTACTGTTTGAAAAGAAAACCCAGGCTAGAGCACTGGAGTCACTCATTTCCCATCCAGCAAAGGGAGAGCTGGTGCCTGGCTGGAGGACGTTAGGAAGGCAAGTCTGGGGGTCTGATCACTCGGCTGGGAGGGGGTAAAATACTTGGACCTCAGGAGGCCGGACTACAGTGCCAGTGTTCTCTGTGTGGCCTGTTCCTGCCTGGGGTTGGGTACCAAGTCCAGGTGGAAGTGGTCCCTGGAGCGTCCTCTCTCTGAAGTGTTTCTTTGTCAACGAGAAATATTCCCTGCTGCTGCCCCAGAACTCATCACTGTTGACACATGGACCAAGAACTAGCAGAGGAGGTGATTTATAATCGCTAAATGAATTGCTCTGAAACAGACAACAAGCTCTCTGACTTAAGTAAAGGGAGGGAGGTGGGTGGAAAGGAAGGATCATAAAGAACATTCTAGATTGCATACTTTGGTAATCACAGCAGGGCCTTATTGCAGTTAGAACAAAAGCCTGGACACACCTCTCAGTTCAGGAAAATAATTTAGAGCTACTTGTTAAATGCTGAAGTATTATTGAAGTACCAAGGGTTAAGATTTTCACTGAAAGCAAAACTGACCGAGCAGCTCAGCGAGGGAAATGCTACGTGATCAGTTGATGGTTTGATGAGGGGTATGGAGTAGGGATTTTGGCAGAGGTTGCTAGCAGACAGGCCTTGGTTTTAGTCCAAGCTCTATCGCTTAATAGCTGTGTGACCTT